GTCTTACACTCAAGGTTCTTGCACCTTTACCTTGTTAGTTTCATGTGGTCTGTCCTCTATTTACCTCTGTTCTTTTGTTTAGTTTGAAGGAAGGATAGAGGATTCTGATGCTTAACAGTTAACATGGTCGGTAAAAGGATCTTCTTTGCTTTTGCAAAGTTATTAACAATACACCAGAGCCTAAGCTACTCCAATGAAGAAGCAATTAAGCTAACAAATTTCATTTATGAATAACAGTAGGCTAACAGCATATATATGTGTGTGTGTGTGTGTGTATGTGTGTGTACTGACTTATCACTCTCAAGCCCATTGAAGGAAGCAAAGGGAAAAATCACAGAAACATCAAGGAAGCACAATTTGCATTGAAGGCCGTCGATTTTTAACTAATTAAGTTTAGTAGTAGAATTATTCTGAGCGCATTTCTCTTTTTGCTGATTTGTCGCAAGGTTTCCATCCGGTGATCTCATGTCACGAAGCTGCTTCTCGCTGGAAAGTGCTTCTGCTAATCTGTAGATTAGAGAAGCAGAAACAAGCCAATTAACGACATAAATATATGTGATTGTGTGCTATATAACATACAACATAGACTGTCAGATAGTTCTATACCTGATGAGAGCCTTTTCATTTGTTACTGTACCTACTGGCTCAAATTTACCATTCTCCAAATTCACTCTGGAAACAGGTTTTTTTAGCAATTCCTCCCCAGCTTTTACAAGATTCTCCAAGTTTTCCTTCGTAGCAACATCCACAGATGATATTTGCTCGGAGAGAGTATCATCCTATATATACACGGAATAGAGATTATTTCATGAATTTAAACATTAATGAACACGAAGACTAAGTTTGTTTCTAATCAAGTTTAGTGTCTATTTATAGATATTTTGACTGTTTTGAAACATTTACAGTAAATTTTTCTGTCTCATGTAAGCAATAGATACCGAATCACATAACTTTTTCTCATGTTGATCTTGTCATTGAATACGACGTTTCTACTTAAAAAACCCAACTAGAAGTATACATATACATACATACATAGCTACGTGTGTACCTAAGCTCATATGATTTATCAGAGAAAATATTTACTTCCAGACCAAGCATGATATGAACAACAAATTTATACCTGAATTCGGAGATAACTTTTTTCAGATTGAAGGGCTTGAAAAAGAGTGGCAATGTGAAAGTCGATCATGTCACTGCTTGCTTGCATGAAAATATCCACCAAGGGAGTAGAGTGCTCACTGGTCAACCATCCCAAAAGACCCCATTTGGCTGCTAGAGTAGCATGGTACTTCTCTTCAGATTTTGGTGAACCAGTCCCCAAAGAAACAACCAGGAACCGAGCATAGTCAGTTGGCTTTATTGGGAAAAATTCAGGATTCCCTCGAAGGATTTCTTTGCTCACTTCGTTTATAGCAACTAGAGTCTGAAAGAATTAATATGATTCAGATTTTAACCATCATGTAAATCCCATCATGTTAATGACATAGATTATAGAAATATACCGGATTATTAGCAGCAACTCCACCGTCAATTAGATTGAATTCTATAGGTTTACCAGTAGAATCTTGGGTATGAAAATGATGGGCAGGAAGATAAGTTGGAGCTGCAGAAGTTCCTATGCATATATCCGAGAGCAGAGCATCTTTGGAAGGATTGCTCTTCACCTATATGATGGTAATTTCATGACCAGGGAATTGAAAAGGAATTAAACCTCATTTTATATAACAACGGACAAAGAAGAAAAGAAACTAATTAATGAACCTCATAGCTGGAGAAGATTTTTGGCTGGAGTTGCTTGATGTCAAAAGTTGGGATCACAACATTTGTTAGGGTCTGGTGCAATCTAGTTTCTCCCAGCTTTTCCCTCACAATATCATGAAGATATTTACCATCATATTTGGGTCCCATTAGAGATTTGACCACGTTTGCAGCTGGTGCAAAGGGAGAACTGTCATGTAACAAAACAGAGAACTGTCATGTAACAAAACAGAATCATCTCAGCAACTACTCTGAGAAATTCATCTAGAAGGAATTTTCTTTTCTGTTGCTTTTTTTCATCAGTATTACCTATCTTGGGGAAAGATTTTAGGACAGTGTTCAAGATAGAAATCTTTGATATCTTTGGCAGCAAAAAGAGGGCGATTCCCCTCTTCTGGATTTGGGGTAGTTAGCATGGCAGTCACGAGGCCACCAGTGCTAGTCCCAGCAATGACATCAAAATAATCTGCCAATCTCGCCTGCTCACCATCCAGCTTCTGTACATAGCCAAACATAAAACACACTTCAAGTCATAAGAAGAAGGCAATTCATGCATATACTCCAGCTACTAAACAAGAAATAAATGCATTTCTACCTGAAGTTGGGACTCTAAGAAGGCAAGTAGAGTTCCTGGAATCAGCCCTCTGATACCCCCTCCATCAATACTAAGTACAGTAATCAAATTCCCATATGTGGGAGGTTGAAGGGGTGATCTTGGACTATCTGCAAAAAAATTGAATTTCGGAATAATATGTTTTGGAATACTTTCCATTGATGGAGATTGAGGCAACAAAGGCAGAGAGATTGAGAGGACTAAGTTGTAAGATAGGTTGATATGCTTTTAGTACACTCTTGAGATAAGCATGTCACGGGTATTTATAAAGACTTTCCTACTCTCCGTCTCTTAGCAGGTTTGAAACTTTCGACTATATTAATTGTGAACCAGATTCAATTAATTGTTTCAACTTCCATTCGTGCTGCCCAACTGTTCTCTATGCATTCATCTCCATGTGTTAGATATTGAAAATTCTTACTCTAATCCCTGGCCGGTAGCTAATGCACCCCACGAGTCATTACAGAGAAAAAATATGGTTGGTTAACTTGAGGAGACTTGTAGGTTTGAACAATTTGGATGAAGAGTTGAAACAATGGAAGAATTGCTCTAGGTTCATCCACTTGTTCGAGGTTGGAACTTTAACTAATGAGTAATGATTTGAGAATTTAGTATATTATACTGTTTCACCCTTGTAGAATATTCATGGTCATTGGACAGCCTTCTGTCGAAGCAACAACCAATACAGAAGGATGTCTACGGATTGGATATTGGGGTCATTGACAGTATAGGGGATGTACTAAACCTAGGATTTTAGGCAGCAGAGCAAACTTGTCATAAGATGGAAAACTTAGCTTCCACTAAAACTAACAAGGAGGCATCAGAAAGCCAACAATTAAGTATAATAAAACTGGAAGTCCATTTGAGCTGTCAAATATATATTTTTTACTCAAACATTTACTTACTTTACTTGGTAATAATTTCAATATACCATATATGAAATATTATAATTCTCCATCTCCTCGGGTCAAGCGGACACCCAATTCTAGGTCCCAACGACAAAGTATGCTAAGCCTATTGGCCTTTAAAGGCTAAGATATGGCTTAGGACCACTAGCCCATAACTTCATTTGAAAAATAGTATCCTCGTGAAACTGACAAGGAGGCAAAGAATTCATATATATAAAGCAAGTTGCAACCTTTTTTATTCAAAGACAATAACAATATGTCAAAAGAATCCATTACAAGGCAGAGAATTATGTAGAAAGCAGTTTAATTAACAATACACTTGCATCAGGATTCAAGGCTGATAGACCTGAAATTTATTTGGAATTGAATAGTAGTATTAGCGGTTTAACAATTTGTTTCATTTCTTTGTGGCAGTGCTTCCTCGCGGTGCTCTCATGTTACGAATCCGCTTCTCCTTGGAAAGCAACTCAGCCATTTTAGATGAAGATAAGCAGAAACAAGTTCAAATCAGCATCAGATATGCTAGGTGCTATATATAATATAATGTAGAAAGCAGAAAATTATACTAGTAAATACCTGATGAGAGCCTCTTCATGTGTTCCAAGATCACTAGGCTCCATTGTACCGGTCTCCAAGTTCACCCTTAAAACTGGTTTTTTCAACAAATCTACCCCAACATTTACAAGATTCTCCAAGTTTTCTCTCGTAGCAATATCCACAGATGCAAGCGGTCCCGTTAGTGTATCATCCTGCAGTTTTATTTTTCTCAATCAGTTGGTATCATTTCTCTGAGCTAAAACAAGTAAATTCTTGACCAAATCGTGACATGACCAACTAATTATGTATACCTGGATACGGAGATGACAGTTTTCAGATTGAACGGCTTGGAAAACAGCAGCAAGCTGATACTCAGTCATGTCGCTGCTTGCTTGGGTGAAAATATCAACTAATGGAGCAGAGTTTTCACTTGTCAACCATCCCAAAACTCCCCATTTGGCTGCTTCATCAGCATCAAACTTCTCTTCTGATTTTTCTGAACCAGTTCCCAAAGGTATAACTGTTGAAGCCAATACTTGCATGCAACTTGCAATAGCAATTTAACACTTGTCCAAACTCAATTCAAGTCCTTAACAGCTATTACTCTTCACAGCTTATGTACTTACGTATTGTCATGCATGCTTAGTTCTTAATGCATTTTAATACTTGTCTTATGCTTGTGATAAATGTTGTAGGCTATTATCCACGTATAAATCTATTGTACGTAAATATCTTCAACAACCAGTAATGAATTGGATGAACTTTCGTTCCTTACTAAGCATTTTTGTTCATCTTTATTTTTCCTTGCCTGTACCAGAGGCTGTATCATGCAGCCTTATCCCGACTTTTTCCCAAATCACAACAATAACCAGGAACCGAGAATAGTCTGTTGGTTTTGTTGGGAAGAATAGGGCTTCTGCGAACGATATCTTTGGTCATTTCGCTTACAGCAACTAAAGCCTGGAAGGATTAGTAATAAACATGTCAATTTAGATTTCAGTTTTGGTTACTATTTACTAGCTAATAACAAAAAATCTTATCATGTAAGAGACAAACTAATATTTTACCGGATCGTTTGCAACAACTCCATCAATAGGATTGAATTCTTTCCCTATGCCTGATAACTCTATTATATAATCTTTGGAGCTTGAATTTTGCTCAGCCTTTTAGTTTTTATTTTATTTTTAAGTAATTTTTTATTTTTAAAAAAATAATTTTACTTATGTGATGTCAAGTTTTATTTATGCAAATTTAGCTTAATTTTTTATTAAAATCCCGCAAATCAGCTTTAGCTTTCGATTATTTAATTTCTTAATATTGAAGGCCATGCAAAGAGGGAGCATAAATGCAAAAGAGGGTGTAAGTGGGCTTAAAAGACAACTGAACTTGCTGAAATATTTAAGACATAAATTAAGCTGTGAAAGTCGAGGTGAACCTTGAACCAATGGAAAGCCGAGAGGACGAGCTATAACTTTGATGTTCAACGCTTCTCCCAGATCGGAAGGAATCGTGGCCAACAATGAAGCTAAAAGTGAGGACTACAGCAGCTCTGCACTAGGCAACTCGAAAGAGGAAAACATGGAAACAGCAAGCCCAGCGCTGCAGCTCAAGCTTCCAGCGCTGCAGCTCAAGCTTCCAGCGCTGCAGCACCGTCCTTCCTCACCAAACAGAACTTCCAGCGCTGCAGCACCAAGTTCCCAGAGCCGCAGCGCTGTCCAGTGAAGCAAGGATGTCCAAGTCAGAGATTCTGCTGCAGCGAGCTTGCAACGCCCTTAGAATCTTGGTTTTTAAAATGGTGGGCGGGAAGGAAAGTTGGGGCTGCAGAAGTTCCAATGCATATATCGGACAGCAAAGCATTTCTCCAACGGTCAACCTTTCCCTACACAGAGTTATACACCGGCCAGAGATCAGAAACCATTGAGAAATGATTTTCTTGCTCTCCATTAATTTCAGTAGAAAAATTAGTATATATATAAAAGCTATTGATAAATTAACGAACCTCATAGGTGGAGAAGATTTTGGATGGAGTTGCTTGATGTCAAACGTTGGGATCACAACGTTGGTCGGTGTCTGGTTCAATCGTGTTTCTCCCAACTTTTCTCTCAGGAGCTTATGCAGATAGCTACTGTCATATTTTGGTCCTGTTATAGTTTTGAGCAAATTTGCAGCTGGTGCAAGTGGCGATCTGCCATTAGCAACAAAAAAGAATTATGTTAACAATTACGTGAGAAAATATTGTTAATTGCATTCACCAATAAAAATAGTATAGCATTAATTAGAGGTGAAAATTCAAGATTGCAACCTGTCTTGGAGGAAAATTTTAGGACAGTGTTCAAGATAAAAATCTTTTATATCTTAGGCAGCATAAAGAGGACGATTCTTCTGGTTCGGGGCAGTAAGCATGGCAGTAACTAGGCCACCGGTGCTAGTCCCAGCAATGATATCAAAATAGTCAGCAAGTCTCGCCTCCTCACCATCCAGTTTCTATAAAAAAAACCAAGCATAAAACTATACTATAAGAATTAAGGAGTCTTAAGAAAAAGGGTAAAGAATGCATGGTCTGCATAGCTAGATATATATATATATCTTTGTATAACTTGAAATGCTATAAAAAATGGCATCCAGTTTCTACATAGCTGGATGTCTCTACTGAGAAAATGCATGGCGCCATGAAATGCATGCATGCTGCATGCATATGCAGTATAATAAGATCATTGCTTTCTTGTTTGTCGATCTTATTTAAAAGCAAATATGGAAGATTTAAAGCATAAATTCTACCTGAAGTTGAGCCTCTAAAAAGGCAAGTACGGTTCCTGGGATTATCCCTCTAATTCCACCTCCATCAATGCTAAGAATGGTGATTTTTTCCCCGTAGGTTGGAAGGTGATGTTCCATAAGGGAGAGAGGTCTTTGTACTTTGTTGTTTTGAGGCACTTAACGCAAGACAGATCAATAGAGATCGAGAGCAATGAATTGAAATCTAAGTGTAGCTATATGTTTCAGTGTTTGAGATACTCTTGAGGAATGCATGAGCTGCTATTTATATTCCTTAAGCTTAACTAGCTTAATGGAGATTTCCCTTCTAAAATTAAGGTTTAGCATTTAACTCCATTTTCCAATAACTTTGTCGACCACAAAAGATCCAATTCTGCGTTGCTATCTGTGTAGTTCCAGGCTCAGATATAGCTTATTAGACTGCAATCTTAATCGCATAAAGCAGCACATTATATTCATTGAGTATTTTCAATTAAATCTAGGAGAACTTGTATGCATATTTCAACAGATATTGAGCTCACCAGCTTATGTTTTCTCGAATTCTTTAACTTCAAGAAGTGACCAGAGTTTATAATTGGAATTCATTTTTCTCTGCTAATCTTTCTTGATTTTCCTATATGATCCAAATCTAATCTACCCAATTCTTGATGTTTTACTTGTTCAAGAACAACAGGCTCTGCGGAAGCCCTTATCATCAAGGGGATGCCAAATTAAACAATCAGTTTCAAGAATTAGCAAGTAGCTTGTAACCATTTCTAAGGAACTGATCAATAGACTTCAGAAAAGAGGACAAAACAAAGGTAATAAAGGGACAACGTCGTTGAAGTTGACTGTAATTTTGGATGTCCAACTCTGCAAATCACCATGCAAGTATATGTTAATTATATCACTTCAAATGTGATAAAATAGCCATGAAACGGATCAGAAGGTAGCTTCATGTATTCCTTATCCATTTCGAGGTAGAAAAAATTTGGTCATGAATTTGGATTTGATGCCTTGGATAAACAAACAAAATTTGGGTTATCGTTTTTCCGCA